ATCACTACGGAAGTAGGATTGCCCAACCTTCCTTCTGAGGAGTGGCTGGTGGGTTTGAACCGCCAGCCTCCTGGTTAGCAGTCAAGTGCCTTAGGCAGTATGCTACCAGAGCTCCTTTCATGTGGCATAGTAGCATTAAAAATTAGTAATTGACACTGGCCTTACCCTTAGCTCAGTCAACATTTTTTCTTGTGAAACTAACTTGGCTTCAAAATATGCTTAACAGTACATTTATCTTTGTAATATTTTGGCTGATACTAATGTAAAATCAATTGTGTTCATTGGACGTACTATCACCTAAATAGAAAAAATAATTTCAAAACTATTTCAAGTTTGTACCTGTAGTTTGAAATGTGATTGGTTTTCTTTGTTTAGGCTGTTGGCAAAGACAATTTGGATGCTAAAATTTCTAGCTTGAACAGTGAAATTCTGAAACTTGAAGAACAAATCACTCATATGAAAACCAAAAGTTTGCCTGCTGTGGTAAGAGAGAATGCCCAGTTATTGAATATGCCAGTTGTAAAGGGTGATTTTGATCTTCAGATTGCTAAGCAAGACTATTATACAGCAAGACAAGAGTTAGTATTAAATCAGTTGATAAAGCAAAAGGCATCGTTTGAACTTCTACATTTATCATATGAAATTGAATTGAGAAAGCATTGGGACATACAACGTCAACTTGAAAATTTGGTTCAAGAACTTAGTCAAAGTAATACGATGCTACAACAGCAATTAGAAATGCTAACAGATCCATCAGTGTCTCAGCAGATTAATCTAAGAAATATTATCGATACCAAGGATTACTCTACTCAGAGGTATGCTGTCATTTCATAAGTATTCTTCTTTTTTTTTTCTTCTATTTTTGTAAAATACTAGACAGAGTTCAAACTAAAATTGTGGAAGTTTAAAAAATTATTTGCACCACTTTTCTGGCCTTTATATTCTCTCTCTCCACTTTTATATGCCTCATTTTCCCTTTGTAATTTTTACTCCCTTTTCCATTAATGTTTGTTTTGGAAATAGCTCCTTTAAAGCTGAGTTATAAGAAATATTTTTTATTTATAAATATATATATATATAAATATTTTCTATCAGTTGAGGAATGAGTATATATGAGATCTTATTCCTCTTTTTTTTTAAAAAAAAAAAAAAAAAAAGTTTGTCCTTGCATCGGTTTAGATTTGTAGTGACCCCATGTCCCCTTTGTTGTTGTTGTTATGTGCCGTCGAGTTGGACCCGACTCATAGCGACCCCTCCTTGGGTTTCCGAGGCAGTATCACTATGGAAGTAGATTGCCCCATCTTCTTTCTGAGGAGTAGCTGGTAGGTTTGAACCCCCAGCCTCTGGTTAGCAGTCAAGTGCCGTAGGCACTACGCTACCAGAGCTCCCACTTTGGGCATCATTATATGGATACTTGTTTTAGATTTTGGGCAGGAGCAACTACAGCTTAGTATGGTGGGTATTACTGGGTAAGAGATTACCTTCATTTGGAAAAGGTGGCAATGAAGAGGTAATACATTTCTGTGTTTAGTTAGGTGTATCGGTGAGAATGGGTATTAACTGTCAGCCCTTTTCTGAGTGCCTGAGCAATTGATAGAGCTTTGGTGGTGCAGTGGTTAAAGTGTTTGACTACTAACCAGAAGGTTGGCAGTTCTAATCCACCAGCCACTCTGGGTGAAAGATGAGGCACTCAGCTTCTGTAAAGATTGACAGCCTTGGAAACCCTGTGTGGCAATTCTCCTCTGTCCTGTGGGGTCGCTATGAGCTGGAATTGACTGTCCGGCTGTGGGTTTTTTTGGTTTAAGCAATTGATAGCAGAGGGATACTGAAATTGCACGGCTAAAGTAGTCTAAGGTCTAAAGAAATCTGGCTTCTACTGCTTTTTCTCTAGGATCTAGGGTAGAGTTATTTAATCTTTTTTATTTCCTTATTAATAAAATGATGGGCTTGGATAGGTCTGCCTCATTACACAGTTTCAGAGCACATCATTAGTATCATGAGCTGTGTGAATGGTACCTCCTGGATTTGTGTAGTCACATGCTGCAGGACCATAATTGATGGCCCTGGGCTTAGACCAGTTTTACGAAGTCTATTGCAACTTGTTAAAAAAAAAAAAGTTTTAAATCTTAAGAAAAATTGTAGGTATATGTGAAAGGTGCTGCCTTAAATTTTTCCATTTGTCCTGTAAGATGAGAGAGTTTTCTGCTGTTAGTGTTGAGGTTTTAAAGTGACTTGGTGGCTCATTGCAATTGTAATTTGTAAATCAAATATGTACAAGAAGATTAGAGTAGCAAACATTTATTATTGTTATCTGTGTAGCCTTTTATTGTTTGCTTTTTTTTTTTTGTACATTTTATGCTTTTTATATTTTCGTTTCACTTTTTTCTCTTTTAATCTCATCACAGACCTGTAAAATAGGTTGATATTATGATGAGGAAATTAAATCTCAGATTGATTTACCCTAGGTCATGCATAGCAGAGCCAGAACTCAGACCTAGGTCTTCTGTTTTGGGCTCATTACTGGTTTTACTAGGTCTTCTGTTTCAAGTTCATTGCTGGTTCTGCTACATTGATAGTTTCAAACTATGAGAGAGGTTTTTTTTTGCCAAGCATCTCTATAACACTTTGTTTTTATAAGTTTGTGGCAGTTAAAGGCAAGAATAATTTTACATCTAAAACTTCAGAGATGAGGGAACTGGAGATGTAGATGCGATAGTTTGTAGTATAGTTGGGATAGTTGATTTAGCAGCAGAAAAATTAATTTTTGTAAGTTGTTGCTTAATTGCCCCCAAATATCTCTCAATACAGTGAATTATAACTTGGAAAACTACAGACTTGGAAATATTTTCTAGTAATTTTTATCTTCACATTGTAGACTTTATCAACTTTTAGAAGGAGAGAATAAGAAAAAAGAACTGTTTAGAACCCACAGAAACCTGGAGGAAGCAGCTGAGAAATTGCAACAGGATGTTTCTGTATTAGGAGATCAGTTGGCAATATCTGCTCAAGAACATTGTTTCTTTCTGTCTAAACTCAATGATGGTGTGGACATGCTTTGTGATGCTTTGTATCAAGGAGGAAATCAGCTTTTGCTTACTGATCAGGTAAGTGCTTGCCATAATAATTATAAACACTTCAAAAAATAATGTTCATCACAAAAGAAAAGAAGTATCAGCATGAGGAAATACTATCTTAAATACCATTTCACTAATACAAAATTTATATTTGGGTTATTTCTTTCTAGTTTTTGTTCATATATAAATATATTTTTCTGATAGCTTTGATCAATGACCCAGAATTTAAAACAATTATAAAATGTTTCAGACACACAAAAGGATACATAATGTTCATGCTAAGTATTAAAAAATAATAACCCCTGTAGTTTTTCATCCATCTTAACAAATAAATTTCCCTTGTATTTAAAATCCTCTGTGTATACTTAGTACGCTCCTTGTAGTAGCATTCCCTTCCCTTCCCTTTGACAAGTAAAAATGATGCTTAATTTTGTTTACCATTTACTTTCTTTGATTTATAGCTTTATTACACACATGTATCCATTTTTCAGTGTTACGTATTTTTGGATTTTATATACATGGTTACTGTTTGTATTATTCAGCAACTTTCTTATTTCTTACCATTTTTCTGAGATTCACCCATGTTGCTACCTGTACAAATATAGTTCATTCATAGTTTACTCTGTTACGTAGTTGGTATTGACTTATAGGAAGTTCCTGACTTATGATGGGCTTCTGTTTTCTATGACTGTTGTAAGTTGATGTAAGTTGAATACCTCATTTTTTTCAGTTGTCATTATTTTTGTCTTTTATCAGCATCTTTATAAATCTGATCTTAGTTTATCTTTGAGAGTTGGAACCATTAGTTATAAACTTACAGATATGATGTTATCAGCAGTTATGTGTTGCAACATTGTATGTAGTACATATTACAGACAGTAACATGTATGAAAATAACAAACATGGATGGTCCTAAGTATACCTTTATATGAATATCTGCAATTTAATTATCTGTTCTTTGACACACATTTATTTTGGTTTTACTATTACTATTACTGCTATGGGTAGTATTTTTGCATGTGTCATACATTTGTGTATATTTGATATTTTATGTATAGATTATTATGTTGTTACGTGCCGTCAAGTCGGACCCGACTCATAGCGACCCCTCCTTGGGTTTCTGAGACAGTATCACTACAGAAGTAGTATTGCCCAACCTTCCTTCCGCAGAGTGACTGGTGGGTTTGAACCGCCAGCCTTCTGGTTAGCAGTGAAGTGCCTTAGGCACTATGCTACCAGAGCTCCTTTGGGTTATTATAGCCACCTGAAATAGCAAGCCACTGTGTCAGTCCATCTCGTTGAGGGACTTCCCCTTTTTCGTTGACTCTCCACTTTACTAAGCATGCTATCCTTCTCAGGGAATGGTTCCTTCTGACAGCATGACCAGAGTAGGTCAGGCCAAGTCTGGCCATTCTCACTTTCAAGGAGCGTTCCAGCTGCACTTCTTCCAGGACAGATTTGTTAGTTCTTCTGGGAGTCCATGGTAGTTTCATGAAGCTGTGGAATGCGTCCTAAAAGACTGCGTTAGTTGCCAGCAAGTGAAGAATTTGAATTTAAGTGTATTCTTCCCCAACACCACAACTCAAAAGCATCAACTCTCTTTAGTCTTCCTTATTCATTCTCTAGCTTTCACATGCACAAGAGGCGATTGATCCCAAAGTTAGGCCCACCTTAGTCTTCAAAGAGACGTCTTTGCTCTTTAGCACTTCAGTATCTGTAGTGGTACTATTTTAGCAGCTGTCAAGATATTTAGAATTTAACTGAAATTAAAGATAGTTTCTCAGAGATAAGATAGATAATAAATATTACTTGATTAAAAAACAAACAAAACATTAGAACTGTTCTGTGGAACTGACATTTGTGACAAGTCTTAAGCAGTCATTCTTGAACTGGCATGTAGAATCACTTGGGGAGCCTATTTAAAGCACAGCTTCCTAGCCCTATCTCCCAAGGTGAGTGAGATGAGAAATCTCTTTATACCAGGCACCCCAGGTGGTCTTGATGCTGGTGGACTACGCTGAGAAGCTGGAAGGTTGAGGTGGTTAGAGCTGTAGATTTTCTGAAAACTTTAGTGATCCTCCTGAAAACGTACAAGAGTGTTTCACTCGAAAGCTGTGGAATGCGTCCTAAAAGCCTGCGTTAGATGCCAGCAAGTGAAGAATTTGAATTTAAGTGTAACAGGTCTAGCAGGTTACATTCTGGAGCGTGGGAATTAACATAAGTCAGGTGGGTTTTTTTTTCTTTTGGTTAAATGTCACCTTTAGTGTGAAAAAAAAATGGAGAATTTGTTGAAGTAATTCTTTTTTATTGGTAATTGCTTTGTTCAGCAATTTCTTAGTACCTCCTTAGTCTAAACAGAGAGTAGGCCAAGCGCAAGGTTTGATTGATTTAGCTGAATGTAAGTACCATGAGGGAAAGTTTGTTCTCTCTTGTATTCCTCATTTCTGAAATAGTGCTCAGCACATTGAGCACATGAGAGCGGCATTGAGTATTTGTTGAATACTGTATATGAATATGTAAGACATTTTACATATCAAGCACTGTTAAGGAAGTTTAAAATGACCTATCAGAAGTTGTTGCAATTGGTCTTACTAGTTGTTGTTAGGTGCTGTTGAGTCGATTCTGACTCAGTGATACTACGTTCATGAAACATGTCCAGTCTTGTGCCTTTGAAAAGTTTATATTGACTTTATTATGGATTTTTAATTGAGGTTTATTGTTAAAATTGTGGGAATAATTAGGAAATCATATAGATTCTTTCTATAAATTACATTTGAATTTTATATTGATGGTATGAATGAAGTTCTTCTTTTTTTTTTTTTTAATTGTGATTTGGGTGAAAATTTACAGAGCAAATTCCCTTTCCATACAGCAGTTCGCATACACTTTGTCTCATGACATTGACCACAATTTACCACAATGCAACAGCTCCCTTCCCACTTCCTCCCAATAGTTACCTCTTCCCTGTGTCCATGCACTCCTGCCCCCTGAGCTGTCTCCCTGTGTATAAGCAGCCCTTCTTTCTCCCATGATTGTTCTCTCCGAGGTGTATATCTATCTCAGGTAAATGTTCAACTCATATGCCTGTCTTTTGTTTGGCTCGAAGCCATAGGTGTGGGTTCAATTCCAGACCTGAAGGGCAGCTAGGGGCCATAGTCTCAGTTCCTCCAGGCTCTGTCGGACCAGCAAACCTGGTCTCTCCCCGCCCCCCGTTTTTTTTTTCTCCAAATGATTTTGAGTTTTGTTCTGCATTGTTCTCCCTCTCTATCAAGAATCTCCTACATAGATCCCCTTCCAAGTGGTTGACAGTGGTAGCTGGGCACCATCTAGTTCTTCTGGTCTCATCGTGGTATAGGCTGCAGATCGGATGGTATACCGGGTGCTAGGACTAATTGTTTCCATGAATTTTTGGTTTTCTTCATTCTTCTTTGCTCTGGATGAGGAGAGACCCATCATTGCATCTAGATGGCAGCTTGTAAGCTTTTAAGATCCCAGTCGCTACTTGCCAGAGTAGGAGGTAGAACAATGTTTTATGTAGTATGTTATGCTAATTGAGCTTGATGTCCCCTGCGACTATGGTCCCGAGCCCACAGGTTCAACTACTCAGTCCCTCTGGGTAGCTGGCTATGACTAAGCAGTGACTACAACCTTGTCCCTTGTCAGCTCCACTATACACCTGGGAATTCAGATCATACACGTAAACTTATAGGACCATTGTCTGCTAACCCTATACATGTTGTTGGGTACACTGCCTGCTTCACGTTGTTGTTGTTATGTGCCGTTGAGTCGGCCCCGATTCATAGTGACCTCTCCTTGGGTTTTCGAGGCAGTATCACTATGGAAGTAGATTGCCCATCTTCCTTCTGAGGAGTGGCTGGTGGGTTTGAACTGCCAGCCTTTGGTTAGCAGTCAGCCTTTTGGTTAGGCACTGCGCTACCAGAGCTCCTTCCCTGCTTCATAGACATAATAGTTCAGCCTGTCCACCCATGTATCCACCCGTATACCCATGTTTGCCTTCACTGACAACGCAGTACAGTATGTGCAAAAGTTCATCTTTGTTATCTGTACGTCCCATGTACCTGTCTATGTCTTTCTCTTCCTCGATGCCACCATATTGATCACTCACATTTGGTACATTGCCCTTCTCTTCACCCAAATCAGTACTTAATCTCTATCTATCTAACAGTGTTCCTTCCCTTCCCCTCCCACCCCTGGTAACCAACAAAGAAAATTTCCTTCCATAGATAAACCTTTCCTTGACTTTTACAATAACGGACTAATACAATATTTGTCCTTTTGTGATTGACTTATTTCACTCAGCATAATGTCCTTCAAGTTCATCCATGTTATGCGGTGTTTTGCAGATTCTACATTATTCTTTAGGGTTGCATAGTATTCCATTGTGTGTATGTACCATAGTTTGGTTATCCATTCCTCAGTGGATGGACACCTAGGTGGTTTCCCTCTTTTGGCTATTGCAAACAGTGCTGCGATGAACATGGGTGTACATATATCTGTTCTTGTCATGGCTCTCACTTCGCTTTCTAGTAGTGGAATGGCTGGGTCAAATGGTATTTTTAGTTCCAACTTTTGAAGGAATCACCGTGCTTTCCACAATGGTTGTACCATTTTACAGTTCCACCAGCAGTGTATGAGAGTCCCAGTCTGTTCACAACCTCGCCAGCATTTGTTTGAATGAAGGTCTTGAATTAACAATTTCTTTTCCTCTCTCAGGACCTACTGGAGCAGTTTCATCAAGTGGAATCTCACCTGAATAAGCTCAATCATCTCCTTACGGATACTCTGGCTGATGTGAAGGCAAAACGAAAAATGCTGGCAGTTAATAAACTGCATCAAATGGAAAGAGAATTATATGTGTATTTTTTTAAAAATGAAGATTATCTGCAAGATATCGTGGAGAATTTAGAAAGCCAATCAAAGATTAAAGCTGTTGGCCTTGAGGATTGAAAACTACAAAAAATGAAATCTTTATTACCATATTGAATTGGAATATGTTATTTTTTATTGTTTTACATGTTAGGAGAATAGCTCACATCTAACACTACTAAATTTTTAAATTCAGAGACAGTGGAACATTTTATTTAATGAACGCAAGTATAACATCCATTTGTTTTTTTCCTAATATACAAAAAACAAAACAAAACTCGCTGCCCTTGAGTTGTTTCCAACTTTTAGCAACCCCTCCTTGGGTTTCCGAGATGGTATCTCTATGGAAGTAGATTGCCCAATCTTCCTTCAGAGAAGTGGCTGATGGGTTTGGACCACGAGGCTTCTCGTTAGCAGTCAAATGCCTTAGGCACTATGCCACCAGAGTTTCCTTTCCTAATAAAACACGTTCAAAATGCCAGGACTTTTTATGCCTTGAGCATTGCTTGTTGGCACTTCAGTGGGTAATACAGTTAGTCCTGAGAATTTTTTACTTACAAGGACAAAGCACTGTTATGTGTAAATATTTTTTATTCTAGGTCTCCTTTATTATTTTTTGGGGGATGAGGGGATATAAACTTTTTAATGTTGAAATGTTGAAAATATTTGTATGATTGTGAGTCAGTTTTATTAAATCTGTATGCCTTAATATATGGCATGGCTGTGCTCCTTCCTATTTGAGTATTGTGTAGAAGGTCACAATTCTACCCCTCAAGCTGCGTTTCCCCAAAAATGCTAGCTATAGAGTTCGAGGCTGTTTTAATTATTGTTTCCATTTATACCGTGAAGAGTATCTGGACTCCACTGGCCTTTGCTTATTTTAGAGGCAGGGTCCTCAGAGTTTCTGCAGGTCAGATACCAGCAGTGCTCTGACTTCAGAGTTGCTTAGCATCGTGAGTGACCTCCAAGTGAAGTTCAGAATTCCAGTGAATGCTATTTTAATTAATTTCTTTGTAACAAAGAAACAAACATTGAGTTGCGTTTAATTTACAATACTGATACAGTATTTGGACAATTAGAACTTAATTGATGTTGCTGTAAAATCATTAGAAGTTGCTTACATGCTGGGTACTGCATCAAATGCTTAAGTACCCAATTTAGACGTGGCTGTATGAAATACCAAGTGAGCTGTATGCACAGATGACAAGAACCTTCAAACCTGGTTTTACTATTTAATGCCAATCTAAAAAAAAATACGTATTTTAGGTGGCCTTTATGAAATTGTTTTCATCTATAAATTAAGGTGAATAAGCCCTGTTGATTTTCTAATCCATTGATCAGAAATTTTTTGCCAATTGTTATGTTTATGCATTTTAAAATTTATATTAAGCAGACCTTAATATACTTGTCGCAATAAATTTTGTGTAAGATTTTACTGTTGGCTGGTTCTCACTTGAGTGTGTTGTTTTTTTTTTTTCCCCTGTTCTGACTTGCCATTGAGAATCTGCTTTTAATTTTTCTTTTCTCCAATCTTACAGAAAAATACAGCACCTGTTTTCTTCACTCATGGTAGCAAATTCTGTTCAGATCAGTGCCAGATGTATCTGATGTGTGATCAGATGCTTGCTTTGTATGGGCCATTACCATCCCTCCGCCAGGGGCCAGTGGAGCTCAGTGGTAGGATGGCAGCTTGTGTACACCCTCGTTACTCAAATCAGCTAGAAATGATTTTTGTGTTGCTAGATTTGTATATTTGAAGATCAGTAACTCATCGTTCAGAGCTTAGAAGGTATGGGAGTACGTTGATTGCTTCACAGTTGCTTGACTGAAAGATTCTTTGCTTACTCTGTTTGGTGTAGTACTCTAGTCATCCTTATAACCTACTTACTGTCCTGTCTTTTATGGGGTCATCAATACCTGTTTACTCTGCTGGTTATTGATAGAGTAATTTTCATGAAGGGCTCAGTACATAAGTGTTCCAAATAACTTGTGTTTCTTACTTTGAAGTCTCAAAAAATTGACATGTGGGCATTTATCTTATGTTTAGGATTTATGAAAATGGAAAGTTCTGAGGCGTTGGTAGGCTTTGATCTCTCTAAGACGCCGCTCTCCAGTATTGCTCAGAAGATTTTGTGTGCTATGCACTCAGTCGATGTAGCGGATTCTGAGAATTGGAGAGAGAGTGAAAAGAGTGAGTAATTTTTCTGAACCTTTCTGGGTTTTGTTACCATGAACGTTCATTATTTTTAACACAGATTTGAAAACGAAGTGTCACCAAATCACTCCATAGAACTTTGTGTAGGAAAATCCCATGCTTTAAGTACCTGAAACTGAGCTCCCCCTCCACACACATAACCACACACCTACACACTCGCACACCCAAACACACCACCACCACCTCCTGGCTCAGTGCTGCCCAAGCTTCTGCTTGCTGGATTTCCAGCATTTCCTTAGAATCTGCACTATGTGTGTAAGTATCCTCAGAAGACAGACTATTTCCCAGTGCCTTTGGCTTTAACTTTGGGTCTCGGGTCACTAAACCTGTACAGAGTATGTTGTGTACAGTAGACAAGAGGAGTGTTTTTGCTAATATGCATGTTGTACTGCAGTAGAAACACACTTAAGATGACTGCATTGGTATTCGTACGTGTTTATGATATCCTGTACATTAAGTGATACTTACAATAGAAAAAGCAGTTACATAGGCTCAGAAGTGGGTTTGAGGATCTGATGCGTTTGGAACTTCAGAGTTTATTTAAATATACATTTTGCTACTAGCAAAGCAGTTTTAATTTGAAATTTGTAAATTAGGGTGTGGTAATTAAATTTATGGGAGCTCTGGTAGCATAGTGCCTAAGGCACTTCACTGCTAACCAGAAGGCTGATGGTTCAAACCCACCAGCCACTCCTCGGAAGGAAGGTTGGGCAATCTACTTCCGTAGTGATACCGCCTCGGCAACCCAAGGAGTGGTCGTTATGAGTCGAATCCAACGCGATGGCACATAACAACAACAGCAGCAATTAAGTTTATGTGTCAACTTGGCTGGTCCTGGTTGAGTGGCTGGGCAGCTGGATGTAGTGATTCCCCAGGATGAGACTGATCATCAGCCCCACGGTGGAATCTACTGTGAGCAGCTGAGTAGTTGCTTTAGGGATGTGGTCTGCTTCCTGTATAAAAGGAGCAGCTTTGAGAAAGGTCTCTGAGCTTTTTGGCACATCTGGATCCTGCATTTGGCTGAGTCTTCGTCTCAGTATCCTGCCATATTGTCTGCCAATCTTGAGACTGTTTCTGGACTTGAACTAATGGCTTGCTGTGTTGTTTGATAATCTTGGGACTGTACTATTTTATTTGTTGACCTTGGATTTGGTAGCCTCAGCACCCAGCAGCTGCCTGAATTAAGAGAAACCTCCAGTTTCAGTGGGCCGGGAGCAAGAGGCAGAGCTGAAGCCCAAGGTGGAGGGGCCTTCACCCAGCCCCTAGAGCTGGCACTTTGAACTCAGACTTCTAGTCTCCTAACTATAAAAGAAGAAATCCCTGTTTGTCAAAGCTACCCATTTGTGGTATATTTTCTGATAGAGCAGTACTAGAAAAGCAAAACATGGGGCCAATAATTTGTAGTTTGTTTGTTTTCCTATAGAAAAATGTGATTGAGATATAATTATTTTGAGGTGAAATAATTGAGAATACTACAAATATTAAAGCCAAAGGTGTTATAAATGCTGTTGATTAAGGTACAGTAGTAGTTAACATTTCGATCTATTTATACTTAGGCATTTATGATTGTGTTTTTTATTACAATAAAGTCACTAATTAATAAACCAGTAAGAATTTTTTGGGTGTGGACTACTTATCTAATAATTGATAATGTTTTGGGGAGAATGGTGAGGATAGTAAAGAAAGATAAGAGAAATATGCAGACATCAAATAGCGTTCTCCTCTACTCCATACCCTTAGCTGCCTAAAGCAAAAGAACAAGTGATACTTCAAGTAGAAATGTACTTCCCTTCAGAAACTTACACTGTTGTAAGGGAGCTCTGGTAGCATAGTGGCTAAGTCACTTGCCTGCTAACCAGATGGCTGGCGGTTCAAATCCACCAGCCACTCCTCGGAAGGAAGGTTGGGCAATCCTACTTCCGTAGTGATACTGCCTCGGAAACCCAAGGAGGGGTCGCTATGAGTCGGGGTCGACTCGACGGCACATAACAACAACAACAACAAGAAGAGTAATGCAGTACCTCTGGTTGCTATCATATGAATCACTATTGAGAAAAGTTCATGGCCGTCAGCCCATCTCACATCAACTCATCGTGTTCCTGAACTAGCTTCTTAGAATCCTAGTGTTTGTGAAGATTGCCCAGAAGATAATAGGAAGAGAGAATACTACTTTTCTGCCAGGTATTTTTGGATTTGAAGAAATAGTGGAATTGTCTTAAGGATTTTATATTATCTGTTGCTATGTAACAACATTAGTACACACTTCAAAAAAAAAACAAACCGAACCCATTTGTTGGTTCCTATTCATAGCGATCGTGTAGGACAGAGTAGAGCCACCTCATAGGGTTTCCATAGGGTTTCACGGAAGCAGATTGCTGTAGCCTCTGACTTTTTGCTTAACAGCTGAGCGCTTAATCACTGTGCCACCAGGGGTCCTCTACTACACATTTAGTGACTTAAAACAACATGCATTATTATGTCACAGTTCCTGTGGCTCAGGCAAGACTGCAGTCAAGATGTCTGCTAGGGCTGGTCTCATCTGAAGCTCTAGTCAGGGAGGGTTTACTTCCAAGTGGACAGAATTCAGTTCTTTGCATGTTCTCGGACTCAGGGCCTCTGTCTCTTGCTGGTTGTTGACTATAGCCACCCTTACTTCCCTTCTATGTGACCCACCTCCATTAACAGCTTCCCAATATGGAGCTTTTTCAAAGCCAGCCAGAGTCTTCCTGTTGTTGTTAGTTGCTGTCGAGTCATCTCTGACTCATAGCGACCCTGTGTATGGCAGAATGAAACACTGCCCAGTCCTGTGCCAGCCCCACGATCCTTGCTATACCTGAGCCCATCATTGTAGCCACTGTGTCAGTCCATCTCATTGAGGGTCTTCTTCTCCTTTTTCGTTGACCCTCTACTTTACCAAGCATGATATCCTTCTCCAGGGAATGGTCCCTTCTTATGACATGACCAAAGTAGGTGAGGCGAAGTCTGGCCGTTCTTGCTTCCATGGCGCATTCTGCCTGTACTTCTTCCAGGACAGACCTGTTCGTTCTTTTAGCAGTCCATGGTACTTTCAACATTTTTTGCCAAAGAGAGTCTCCCTGGCAAGGCTAATATTATAGTCTTAGGTAACCACATACATACAGCCTATGCTTTATGTTTTTGGTTAGAAACTATTCAGTAAATCCCACTCATACTAAAGAGGTAGGAATTATTCAAGGGTGTGAATACCAGGAAGTAGAGACTGTGGGAGGACCTTACAGAGTGTGTCCCTCACACATTCCCACTAGTTTTACTCTTATGTGAATCTAAATTAAAGTTGGATCGTTAAACTGGGTTATTTGTGGGTGATTATCAACTTAAGACTTAATTGATTCTTTTACTCTTAGTACATTCTTACTTCTTATAAATTAGGATTTCATTTCTGAAAGCTTGTTTTGTATCAAATAACAATTGAAAACAAAATTTTATTCACAATAAGCAAACTATAAATACTTGCATTTACTTATTAAGTGAGTAAAACCAAGGAATATTAAAACTGTGACACGTATCACCTTGGGGCCTAGTTTTCTGATTTGTTAGACTGACTGATGTGTCTTGAAATATAAATGAAATAAAGATTAGACTGCTATCTTTTCTTGATACATCTTACTGCAATAAGCATAGGTTTTTATTTAAAAATACTTGTGCTGTGAAAAAATAAAAATGCAGCAGCCAGCAGCCATTGCGGTGGAGTCCGATCCGACTCATAGCGACCCCTCCTTGGGTTTCTGAGGTGGTATCACTACGGAAGTAGATTGCCCAACCTTCTTTACGGGGAGTGGCTGGTGAGTTTGAACCGCCAGCCTTCTAGTTAGCAGTCAAGTGCTGTGGCACTGTGCCACCAGAGCTCCCTAAAATAAAAATGGCAGACGCTTAAAATACAGCTTTATTGGTCCGATAGAACCTGGTGGAACCACTGAGACTATGGCCCCTAACTGCCCTTCAGGTCTGGAATTGAACCCACACCCGTGGTTTCCAGCCAAACAAAAGACAGGCATATGAATTGAACATTTACCTGAGGTAGATACACTCCTTGGAGAGAACAATCATGGGAGAAAGAAGGGCTGCTTATGTACCGGGAGACAGCTCGGGGGGCAGGAGTGCATGGAGGGATGGACACTGGGAAGAGGTAACTATGGGGAGGAAGTGGGAGGGGAGCTGTTGCATTGTGGTAACTTGTGGTCAACGTCATGAGACAAAGTGTATGTGAACTGCTGTATGGAAAGTGAATTTGCTCTGTAAATCTTCACCCAAATCACAATAATAATAAAAAAAAAATACAGCTTTATGAATTAATGTAAAGAGAACTTTCATGTTCTGAACCTCATTACCAGCGCCTAAAAATTTCCTTCTCAATTGTGACCCTCTCCTTACTTGAAAGGGTAACTTCTGACTTTTGTGGTGACTGCTTGCTAATCACAGTTATTTTATGTTGTTCCAAGGACTTTTTGGCTGAGAGGAGTAGTTGACCACCACAGCAGAAGCCCTTCTTCCCTTTTAGGCACGTGATTAGATTACATATCTGTCTCATTGTGGTGAGGTGTGACCACATAGCCAAGTTCTTGTCGATGGAATATGAGTTCAAGTGATATGTTCCATTTTCAGGCAAGGCCTAAAGACAGCAGACTTGCCCCAGTTGGAACCTGAAATGATTCCTTGTGAATGACAGTGTCCTAGAGGATTGTGGAACATGCTGGAAGGAAGCCAGGTCCCTGAATGATTTCATGAAACAGCTGCACCACTGCCTGGAATGCTCACCTCAATTTGAGAGAAAAATAAACCTTTTTGGAAGCCATTGTATACTGAGTCTTTTCTGATTGTTACTTAGCATTTTTTTCCTAACTCATGTATCTGTAGTCTCTATCTACAATTGGATTCATCTGATTTAAATTTTCAAAATCATTTTATTGTTTACTAATGCTGCTGGAAATCTTTGGTAA